CAGACGCCGTCGGCGGTCATGGCAAGGTTGTGGTGGGCTCCAGCCGACACGCTCACGACACGCTCACCCAGCGATGGGAGGCAGGTCGGCGTGTTGAGCCGCGTCACGCCCTCGCCGTGGCCGAGTACCCCTGGGCTGAGCCACAGCGCAGAGCCGCACGACGAGAGCCGCCCCTCGCCGACGATGAAGACGCTGTGCTGATAGCCTGCGGACGCCCTCGCCGGCGGGTTGGACTCGCGAAGCAGCGCAGAATAGCACAGCCACCGCACGGCGCAGGTCTCGTCCTCGGGCTGCGCCGGCAGCTCGAAGCCGCGCTCTTGCCCCCACAAGCGGATGCCCTGCTCCGCGAGCGAGTGGAAGAGCAGCGAGACGGCCGCGACGCGAGCGATGTCGAGGGGGCTGTCGCAGCGAGAGAGGGCGCGCTCGAGGAGCTCCCTGGGGAGGTCGGGGAGGCGGGCGGGCGGCTGCGTGTCTGGCGAGGGGGCGGCGGCGGAGGCGGAGGCGAGGCGGCGCGAGCGGCGGCGCGGAGGGGTGGACATCGCGAGGAAAAGAAAAAGTTTTCCTTCGGGGACACACGATTCCAGAAATGGTTGTGTCCCCGCTCCTCGCTCGCCCGGGCGGAGGGCATGGCCGCGGAGGAGGCGAGTACGCGCTGCCAGGCCTTCCGCAGACAGCCTCTTGGCCAGACTGAGGGTCGGCTTTGTGTGGCGTGGCCCGTGCGCTGCGCTGCACAAAGCTGCGTAAACTGCGGGAGCATCCTGTGCTTCCTTTGAGAAGTGCGCACCTCCTGCAGCTGGTGGAAGGCCGTGCCGCCGCTCGTCTGCTCCGTGGACAGGGCGGGGAGGCGACGACGCAGCGCCGCAGCGTCCGCTGCACGCCGGTGCAGCACTCTGCTGCCTGGTGGGCAGCATGCTGGTGCTGTGCGCGACGTTTTCGAGGCTGCAGTGGCGCTGCACCGCAAGCCACGGCGAGCGGCACGCGGCATGCGCGGCGCCACGCTTGGCCCGGACAGCGCCAGAGAGTGCCCTCGATGGGCCAGCCTGCGCGGCGCGAGCGCCGCACAAGCTGACGCATCGTCTGCCATTCTCTGGTCGACGGCGGTCAATCTCGCGATTGTCGATCAAATCCGGCGGGCTTTGTGACGCCGTTTACGCAATCGTTTTTGGCTTCGCTTTCTCTTTTGCTTGTTTTTATTTTGTTTTTTCTTTTGCGAAGCGACGGAGGGGGGGGGCGGGCGGGCGCTAACTATGGGCAACTACATGTCGAAGGTTCGAGGACGACTACTCGCCGCCTGGGTCGTTTGGGGCGCGCGGCTCCGTCGAGGACCGGGCGCGCCCCTTACCCGGCGCGGCGTAGGTCCCACTCTGACGTATAGAGGGGAGGCACGGACAACGGCCCAATTCATCAATTCCACTCATCTTCTGGTGCCTAGCCCCGTGCAGCGGCGGTCCGGCAGGCTGCCCCCAAGGCCCCCCGGGCCGCTGCGGGGCGGGGGCTGGGGGGGCGGTGCGGTGTGGCGTGTGTGTGCGAGTGATGGCTGCTCCCAGGGACCTTGGGCTTGTATTATTAACAACGAAGGCGCTCTCAAAAGAGAACAC